TGTTTTTATTTCCTGAATTGAGGATGCCTTTACTATAGGTTAAATCCTGGTTGCTGGTACTTTTGTTGGTAATGCAGGATAACATTTGGATAGTGGATGTTTCTTTCTGAGTTCTTTGTCCAGTAGTAATGGGCCTGTCTCTCAGAATGGGTCAGAGGGATTTGAGATTTACTGGCTAACAGGAATAACTTGGGGGAATTTCCTTTGATCCTCCCCAGATTGTCTTCCTGTCTGACACATGCCTATCAACAAACTCAGGACTGCTGTATACTCTCTGTGCTCAGGTATTGGTTAATCAGTACTCCCTAAATTTGACTTAAAAAGAATGAAACACCTCCTAAGCTCTTAAGTCTCATTATTGATTTGCCTGAGGTTTTCACTAAATTTCCATTTATTGTATTTCTACTCTGAGTCTCCAACATGTTGCCAATTGAGGCTCCCCATAGTAACTGCCTATCATTATGAATCATCTATTTAAATGTCTTCTTTTTTGAGAAAGGGAAAAATTAGTGTTAAATTATACTAATGGTGGTAGATGGTTTTTGCCTGTATCAAAGTTGCCCTTGTAATTATGTCAACTTTTCTCCTATAAAAGGATAGACACATCGTATACCAGTCCTCCCTTATCTGTGGTTTAACTACCTGTAGTCAACAGCAGTCCAAAAACATTAGGTACAATGATATACTGCACCCACATAGCTTTCATTACAGTGTATTGTTATAATTGTTCTTTTTTGAGATTAATAACTTGATAATCTCTTACTGTCTAATTTATAAATTAAATTTTATAAAAGCTATGAATGTCTAAGGAAAAGCAATATCTATACTATAAGGTTTTAAGCTTTCATTGTGGCTCTTGGGACAGCTCTTCAAGGAGCAAGGAATGTCAAATAACCTGAGGCAAAGAAAAGTGAATTTTTTTTTTTTTAAAGCATTAAGCTTGAGAACTTATGCCCAAAATGGTTCTGAGAATGCTCTAGATAGCTCTGGGAATGCTGTCTGAATTCTGAATTTCTCAATGACCCTATTACATTTTTCAAGGAGGTTTAAATGAAATATTTCAAGGATTTCTATAAAGAAAACCTGGGTAGGAGTTCAGTTAGTATAGCTATTGAGTTATTTTTCAATTTCCCTCTAACTGCTGCCCATAAGCTTTTGTGTGTTATGTTTTCATTTATCTCAATCATTTATTTTCTGACAACTCTTGTGATTTCTTCTTTGATACATTAGTTACTTAAGATTATGTTTTTAATTTCCATATTTGTGAGTTTGCCAAATACTATTTTCTTGATTTCCAATATAATTCCATTATTATCACATAACCTGCTTTCAATCCCTTTAGATTCATTGGACTTGACTTATGGCCTCACATGCGCATCTATACTGAAGAACACTTGAGATGAATATATATTCTGCCATTAGTGGGTGGGTGTTTTGGAAAGATCGAGTTAGTTTATTGTTGTTCAAGTCCTCTGTTTCCTGCATCTTCTGTCTTCATTCTGTCCATTTTTAAATGTGGGGTATTGAAGTCTCCAACTTTAGTGTTGAATTTTCTCCTTTCATTTCATGTTTTGTTTCATGTATTTTAGGACTTTGATATCTGTGTGTGTGTGTGTGTACACGTATATATTTCTGCTACTCTGTGATGCTGTTATAATTCAGATTATGTATTTATATCTTATGATGCTCTTAAACATAGTTTATAATAATTGCTTGATGCCATTTTCTTTTAAGTCCTATAGGAGAAAACAGTTACAAACAAAAATTTTATGGTGTCTTTTATGTTTGCCAGTTTAGTTACTCTTACTATTTGTTTTTTAATATGAACTTTGATGAATGCTTTAATTTTTCCTTCATTTGTGAAGGAATGGTTTGGTGTATATAGGATTCCTGATTGGAAGTCTTTTTCCTTTAAGTACTATGCTACATAATTGCCTGTTGGCATGCCTAGTTTCTGGTGAGAAATTACCCAGTAATTGTAATGGTCCCTTTGTTAGGAGGTGTCTCTTCTCTGTTTTTGCTTCCAAGAATGTCTCTTTTTCTTTGGCTTTCAGTAGTTTGGCTATGATGTGTGTAGGTGAGGATCTCTGTATTTATCATACTTGGATTTTATTGACTATTTTGATATGTGTCTTAATTTTTCCCCCTACACAAATTTGGGGGGTTTTAGCATTATTTATTCAAAATTATTTCTGCATCTTTTTCTTTTCTCCCTCTTCTCCACCTGGAACTCTAATTGTGTATATGATGGCATTCTTTTTAGTGTCCCACAGATCTCTGAGGCTTTGTTCACTTTGTTTTGTTTCCCTTAGCCTGTATAATCTCAATAGACTTACAGTCAAGTTTGTTTATTCTTTCTTCTGCCTGTTCATGTCTGTTGCTGAGTCCTCTTAGTGGATTTTTCATTCTGGTGTTTGTACTTTTCAATTGCAGAATTTCTGTTTGGTCCTTTTTAAAAAAATAATTTCTCTTTATTGCTAGTCACAGTTGAGGCATTGTTCTCATACTTCCCTTTAGTTCTTTAGGCATAATTTTTGTTTAAATATTTAAAACTACTTAAAATAGTTAATTAAAGTGTGTATCTAGTGTATACAGTATTTTGACTGCTTTTTTTGTGGGTTTCATAATTTTTTATACTTAAAATAATAAATGTGGCAACTCTGTGCATCACATTATCCTCTGCCAGAATTTGTTGGTTTTGTTTGTTTAATGACTTTCTGAACTAATCAGTAAAGCCTGCATACTTTGTCATATGTGGTCAGTAGAGTTTATTTCTGGTCAATTAGTTTAATGAACAAAAAGCAGTTAGACAGAACTCTCTTTATGCCTGAAAGCACTAGTTCTCACAATCTTTACCAAGGGGCTTTGGATGTATGTTAAGCACACCTTTAACACTTAACCAGATAGTTTGTAATTCCATGTTTGCCTCCTCTTCCTGCTTGCAAAGAACCTGAAGGTAAACAACGTGAGGTGAAAGCTTTGGCTCTTCTCAGAACTTTCCTTAGTATGCATACAATCCTGGGCATGAAGTTGGTCATCTAGATCTCTAGGAAAATGTTGGAGATTTTGAAAGGCTCCTGTGGAAATCTCATTTGCTTTTTAAATTTTGTTGTTTGTTTGGTTGTTTTGGTTAATCTGTTGTTTGCCCAGAAGTTACCTACTGGCTTTTGTAGCCCGCAACAATTGTCTCTATTTTCAAATGTTCCTAGAAGAAAAGTCCCAAGGCAGATCAAATAAAGACTTTCTTGTAAGTGTGATCTTCTAGGGAACTACCAGGCAGGCAAAAAAAAAAAAAAAAATGGTTGGTCTCTGGGGATGGGGCTTTGAAAGAATTTAATCCCCTTTCTACTCCTTCCTGGCTATTAGGCTGTACTGGTTTATAGGTTGTGATTATAGTGTGTTAGTTTTTTTTTTTTTAATTTATTTATTCGTACAGAACTGGGGTACAGGCCAGAGATGCGGAGGGTGAGAGGATTCACCAGAGACAGAGTGGGGAGCAGAACAGGCAAATCGATGAAATACACTGCTGAGGGGAGCAGCGGGCGGGGGCAAGCAGGGATCGAACTCATGCGGAAGTGGCTTTAGTTTCTTAGTGCAGTGCTTTAACCCGCTGCGCCATCAGGGAGGGCCCTATAGTGTGTTAGTTTTTAAGGTTACTGCAGACTTGAGGAGAGGACAAATGACAATAGAGCAAGTTAAAACATGAACAAATATATTGTCTACACCAAGATTCAGTTATTTTTCTTGAACAAATGGCTCCCCAAATTGTCACAAGATGCTGATCAATTTCTAGAGTTCAGAAAAGTTCTTCTAAAGTTGGTTTCTGGTATTTTTGCTTCTTTTATAGAGCACTTTAGAGCAGAGACTTTGAGAGGTTATTTCACTATGTTCTCTGACATCACTGATAATTTGTTTTTTACCTTCAAAGTAGTGTAATAAACTCAAAAATAAAAATCCTAAGGTATTTTAAGGTAAACTAGATCTGGATTATTTCAATCATGTGAATGACAGTATTTCTCTTAAAATTTAGATCTCAGTTTTCCATCTTTACAGGAGGGATGAAAGTACTTCTTCATTCCCCCCTCCCCCACACACACACACTTACTTGCAAACTGAATGCTGATGTATGTGGATGTGTTTCGGTGCTTTTGGAAGGAAAACATTTAACTTCCTCAAGACTTCATATTGTTAGTTCTGGTTCTGCTTCCCACTGTATTCCCTTGATCAAGCCACTGAACCAGTTGCTTCTCTTTCCCTTTTCCCCTTCTCCTTTCATCCCTCACTTTTCTCTACATGGATTTGCTAATAAATTTAAATAGCTTTAAATGCCCTTATAGTTACTGGAAGATGTTCAGGAAAAACTGCTGTTGTTATTGGCAGTTTGACCAGAATGATTATTTTACACATAAGAAGTATTTTTTAATGCAATCCAAAATATTATTGGAAGTTTTTTATATTGTACATAGCACTAAACATAAGTTTTGAAACTTCTAATATAGTCCTTTGTATGAATCTCAACCTCTTTTTATTGAGTACCTTCCTAACTCCATCAAATGTAAGATTCTCTGTGGAAAGCTGTTAGAATTCACTGACCTGAATTAGAACTCCAGGAAAATGTTGTGCTGTTTTCAAAGCCTCCTGTGGACATCTTATTCACTACTTTTCCCTTTTAGTTGTGTTAACATATATGTAACTTAAAACATACCATTTCAACCATGTTTCAGTGTACAGCTCAGTAGAATAAGGTGCATTCATTCATATAATTGTGTAATACATGCATTTCTCTTTGAAAAACATAGGCTTCATAGTTCTTTGATAATATTTGTTTCGTGAATAATGTTAAATAGAGCTGTACTGTTGTTTGCTTGTTTTGTAGAAGCCTTGAGTTTCATAAAATGTGGTGGGTTTTGATTTCAATGGCCATGCTTCTTTTACTTCATTGAATTTCTGGTAACAGCTGAAGAACCTAATTGTCATACACACATCTCTTGGTACTGCAGGTTGCAATGAAGGCAGGAATTAACTCTGAGACAGCCATGTCAAGAGGATTGTATCAACCGGCAACAATCTTTATGGGCCGCCAAATGTCAGCAGTCTCAAGCATTGGAGATTTCTGTACAGAGAGGAAATCGCCCCAACCCATGAAGAACTTTTCAATTCCTGACCCACATTCACACCGACAGACAGCCGAGAGCAGTAATGTGACAGACAGCTATGTACAAACTTATAGTGACATGCAGTGCTTAAATAAGTCTGACAAAACAGATGGAACGACATCTCTTCAGATTGTTGAGAAAATGACAGTCGCAGTCACTGTACTGTGTGAGGAGGAACAAACTCACTGCTTGGAGATAGGAAATAGAATGCATCATGGCAGGAATAATTTATCTGAAGTTAAAAAGTCTGCTGAACTTCATTCCCCGTTACAGGAAAGATTAAGTCCAGAGAACAGAACCACTGATTTAAAGCATGACAGTTCCAGCAGATCAGAGGGATCAGAGGGAGAAATACTGACACAGGAACATATAGAAGTCAAGGAAGAAAGAGGCAGACCGCCAGTCTCTCCCATATCAGTCTCAGAATACTGTACATCTGAAAATAAGTGTTCTCAAGAGAAGCATACTGCTTGGGAAGGTTTCTCTGGTATGGTGAAAGGCTGAGATTATTTGCTGATTTTTGTTGGTAGTTAGTTTTACTGGGTGGTTGTGGTCTTATGTAAGAATACACTCTCTCATTTTATCACTAAAGCAAAGTAGTGACTTTATGAACAGCTTCCATTTAATAACATTTTTAAAATATATAAATGCAAATATTTTTGCAAGTAAATTATCTGATTTTTAAACCTTGTGTAGTATCGATTAAATATTTTAGGACTTTTTATTAAACACTCAGTTACTTGTTTCTCCATTGTTTTAACTGGTGAGTTAGTTTCTGTTCTATGAGGTAGAACATCATATCTCCTCCTGAAGTTAGTGAACAGTAATCTGTTTGTATCCCATTTTACAGATCATCCTCTTCAGGGGCACCTAGAGTCACAGACACCTCTCAGAAAAATGCAGGAAGAGCAGGAGGAGGAAAGTTTGAGCAGCAGCAGTGACCTCACAGTTTCTGTAAGTGAAGATGATCTGATTTTAAAGAGTCCAGAACCACAGCCAATTCCGGGTGACAAGATGGCAGGAGAAGATGGAATAGAGGCCTTTAAATTAATCCACTCTGAGCAAGAAAAAGATGCCTTATCTACTGAAAAACATAATTGTATTTTGCAAACTCTAAGCTCTCCTGATTCAAAAAAGGAATCCTCCACTAACTCACCAACAAGAGAGTAAGCCATTCAATATTTTTACTGTTCTGTTTTTAATTAGAGACATTTTTCAAGACCATTCTATTGGGAATATATTATTGAACATTTAGCCATGAATTTGTAAGTTTCTTAAGCCTCATAAATAGTCTTTTAGATAAGGTCCAGTTTTTTCCTTATTTATTTATTTATTTTACAAAATAGCTTTTAAAATCTTGATATCATTGAATCATGTGGAATAACAATTTTAAGCTTCCCAAACATTTCCTGGTTAATTCATAGGTCACTCTGCACCACCCCTACCCTCCATATTTTTTTTTTTTTAAACACTTTTTTTTTTTTAATTTATTCGTACAGAACTGAGGTACAGGTCAGAGATGCGGAGGGTGAGAGGATTCACCAGACACAGAGTAGGGTACAGAACAGGCAGATTGACAAAGTACACTGCTGAGGGGAGCAGCAGGCGGGTCAGGAGAGGTCTGCCTCACCATGTGGATCTCCTCCGGGGCAGGCGGGATCGAACTCATGTGGAAGTGGCTTAAGCTTCTTGTGCTGTGCTTTAACCCGCTGCGCCACCAGGGAGGGCCACCTACCCTCCATATTTTTATAAAATAAGTGATTTGAAGTCTTGGTGACACAGAGTGGCAACAGTTAAGTTTAGTAGGGATTCAATTTGAAAAACTACAAACTTTGCATCTAATTAATTTGTTCAATTCCATATGCCTACAGCAGTTTTATTTTTGTTCTATATGGAATATGTGTTAATAAGTTGTCTTGCTATATGATGAAATATGCTTTCACACTTCTATGTATTAAGTCAGTTTTCCTTTTCTAAATATAAATATGAGGCCATTGGGATTTCATGTTAGATAAGAACATCAATGTTTTATATTTTGAGTACTTGTAATATTCAACTTATAAAAACTTTTTTTTTAATGTTGATTAAAATACTAGGTAGGAATTACATAGAAAACATGGAAACTGTTAAAAACCAATTCTGCAAAACAGAAAAACAGCAAAGTGGCATCAGTTGGCATCAGTTTAGGGTGAGGGTGAACCTAAGTAAACAAACTAAGGTCACCTTTTAAAAATGAAGAAATCAAGGCCAGGGTGATAGGAGTGACACATAAGCCATTGGAGCAAGCCCTCCACCCAGCCTACCTTCCAGAATTTCATATTAAACTCTGATGTTGTAAGTCCTTCCAACAGTCCTGGAGGCAGAGAGAAACCAGTGGGTGACTTGTGCATGTGAGTGTATATTCTCTTAGTGTGCCATTATGCCTTTTAGTGTTCTTGCGTCTTACCATTCATTATTCACTTATGGTGAAAGTTCAATTAATAATCTAAAGGACTGTAAATTGATGTTCAAGAAGTATTTATTAAAATCACATCCATGTTCAAAGTACTTGCACTCTGAACAGAGGAACTAACAGATTTATAGGAAATTTGATTTATTGCAGAAACAAGCCTAATTGATTTTTCTAGTAATATTTCTGTCTCATCAAAGGAGCACCCTTATTACATACTATATCAGCACTAGCTTTCTTACTAGAGGTAGAATGTGTGTATTTGGGTTTTATTTATTTATTTATTTTAAAGATTTATTTATTTGTGCATAAAACTAGAACTGGGGTACAGGCCAGAGGCTCAGGGGCAATGAGAGGCTTCACCAGAGACAGAGTGAGGAACAGAACTAGCAGATCGACGAAATACACTGCTGAGGGGAGCAGCGGGCAGGTGAGGAGAGGTCTGCCACACTATGTGGTCACCTCTGGGGCAGGCGGGAAATCAAACTCATGTGGAAGCTGCTTTAGATTTCTCAGTGCAGTGCTTTAACCCGCTGCGCCACCAGGGAGGGCCGGGTTTTATATTTTTATAGGAAATAATTGGATAAGTTAGTACTGTGGTCGACTGCGAGACTGTAGTTTACTTTAACCAGGACTAAATGTTTTTTTGAGATGAAAAACGTTGACTATCTCTGTAGTATTAAGAATGCTCTGTTTCCCATCCTGCTACATGAGTCACTTTTTCCTGACTTTAAAGCCACACTCCTTGTAATACAGGGATATGGTTTTCTAAAATTTCACTGGGAAATTTGGAGATTTGGAGAATTATTACATGTTTGTCTCCACAGAATACCCACAGAGTGCAAGGTTATTCAGCAATATTTTTTTTCTGTGTCTGTTATCAAATCTGAGCATATTGACTTTCTTTTAAAAAGTTTTCACTTTTACTTTTTTAGTAAATTTATTTTCTTCCACCTTTTATTTTTGTAGCGTATTTAAGTTCTGCCCTCAGCTGTAGTCCCTAGTTCATCCATTAGCACGTGTGATCCATCACTGTAGTCCCTTGTTCTCTTCCCTTCCCTGTTTTACTTTTCCAATGTAAGTGAAAACTATCCAATATTTACTTTTTTTTCCTTCTGACTTATTCACTGAGCATAATCCCTTCCAGCCATCCATGCTGCCACAAATAGCACAAGTTTATCTTCTTTGATTGCTGAATGGTACTCTGTTGTGTATATGTATGTGTCACATTGTCATCCGCTCTTCTTTTTGAGGAAATTTGGGTTGTTTCATGTCTTGGCTATTGTAAGTCATGCTGCAATAAACATAGGAATACAAATTTCCTTCCAAATTAGTGTTTTGTGTTTTTCAAGTAGATACCTAAGAGTGGATTTGCTGGATCATCTGGTAAATGTATTTTTAGCATTTTGAAGAACCTTTCCATAGTGACGGGATCAGTCTGCATCCCTACCAGCAGTGTAAGTGGGTTCCTTTTTTTTTTTTTTTTAAATCACATCTTCACCAGCATTCGTTGTTCTAAATTTTTTTTTAATATGGGCCATTCTCACCTGTGTGAGGTGATATCTCACTGTGGTTTTGACTTGTATTTCCCTGATAAAAATGATGTGGAACTGTTTTTCATATGCCTCTTGGCCATTTGCATTTCTTCTTTGGAGAAGTGTCTTTAGCTCTTCTGCTCATTTTTTGACTAGGTTGTTTCTTTGTTTTTATTGAGTTTTTATTAAAGATCTTTGTAGATCTTTGATAGTAGGTCCTTATTAGTTGTATGGTATGCACATATTTCCTACCCTTCAGTAGGATATCTCTTCATTTTAGCTGTTGTTTCTTGCTAGAGAAGCTTTTTAATTTGATGTAATCCCAGCTGTTTATCTTCTCCTTTGTTCTTCCTTGCTTCTAGAGATGAGGCCTCAAAGATGTTTTTGCCTTTATTTTCTCCTACACTTTATGGTTTCGAGTCTTACACTCAAATCTTATCCATTTTGAGTTGGTTTTTGTTTGTGGTATGAGATAATAGTCGTTTCATTCATTTGCATGTGGCAGTCCAGTTTTCTCAGCACCATTTGTTGAAGAGGGCTTCTTTGTGAACCTATTGATTTTCTGATTTTCTGTGGTTAATCAGAATCAGACAGGATACCCTTCTTTTATGGCTGAATGATAGTCTATTATATGTAGATTCTACGTTTTCTGTATTCATTCATCTGGCAAAGGACTTTAGTTTGTTTCTACCTCTTGACTATTATAAACACTGCTTCTCAAAGTGAGAGTGCAGTTATTTTTCTGAGATACTGATTTCAACTCTTGTATAAATACCCAGAATTGAGATTGCTAGATCACATTGTACTTCTATTTTTAATGTTTTGAGGAACTTCCATATTGTTTTCCATAGTAGTTACAACATTTTACAGTCTCCACCTATAGTGTGCAAGGGTTTGTCTCCCAGTATTCTTGCTAACACTTGTTTTCTGGTTTGTTTTTGGAGGGGGCCATTATGGCGGTGGTTGCTATTGTTTTTGTACCTTCCACTCAATAAAGTGATATCTCCATGTGCTTTTGATTTGCATTTCTTTGATGATAAATGGTTTTGAGAATCTTTTCATATGCCTGCTTAGCCATTTGTATGCCTTTGAGAAATATATAAGCCCTTTCACTGTATTTTAATCACATTTTTTTTTATAATTGAGTTATAAGAGTTCCTTAAAAATATTTTTGACACTAGCTCCTTATAAGGTATGTGGCTTGCAATATTTCCCACCATTTCCTTTCTCTCTGGTTGTCTTAGCTGTGTAGAAATGTTTTAATTTGCTCTAGACCCACTTGTCTTGTTTGGCTTCTGTTGCTTATGCCTTTGGTATCATATCCAATAATATGTCATTGGTAAATCAGCATCAGGCAACTTTTCCTGTTTTCTCCTTCTAGGAGTTTTACAGTTTCAGTGTTAACTTTTAAGTCTTTAATCCATTTTGAGTTGATTGTTGTATATTGTGTAAAACAAGGGCCCAACTTTATTTTCTTGCCTATGAATACTTTTTAATAGCACTGTTTGTTGAAAAGGTTACCATTTCCACTTGGAATATTCTTTTGGTTTTTTTTTTGTTTTTTTAAGATTTATTTATTTATACATACAGAACTGGGGTATAGGCCAGAGGTGCAGGGGCAGTGAGAGGATTCACCAGAGACAGTGGGAAGCAGAACAGGCAAGCTGGTGAAGTGCACTGCTGAAGGGAGCAGCGGGCAGGTCAGAAGAGGTCTGCCATGCCATGTGGGTCTCCTCCCAGGGTAGGGATCAAACTCATGCTGAAGTGGCTTCAGCTTCTTTGTGCTGTGCTTTAACCCGCTGCACCACCAGGGAGGGCCCTCCCCTTGGAATATTCTTAACACTTTTGTTGAAGATCCAGTGAATGTATATGCTTGGGTTTATTTCTGAACTGCTATTCTGTCCCATTTGTGCATATGTCTGTGTTTATGTCAGTACCACAGTGTCTTGCTTACTTACTTTTGTGGTGTTTTGAAATCAGAGAATTCAGGTTTTTCATCTTTGTCATTTTTTTCTCAATGTAATTTTGGGCAATCAGAGCCCTTTGTTGTTCCATATAAAATTTAGAGATTCTATTTATGTTAAAAAAAAAAAAAGAGCCATTGGGGTTTTGTTAAATATTGAATGGACTCTGTAGATCACTTTGAGTAGTGTGGACATCTTAGCAACATTAATCTTCCAAA